TCGGCAGCAGCAGCGGCTGCGGCTCGGCGCAGCTTTGCTCTTGCTGGGCTCGTGTGGGATTTTAGCTGGATCCAGAGGATCCCCTCTAGTGGGATGAGGAGGAATTTCAAGCCCACCTCCCACCCCGTGCTGTTTGTGGGCCCGGCTGGGTGCTGGGCTGCCCCAGGAGCTCCTCTGCCCCTTTTGCCATTTTCCCCTTGGAGGCGCAGCTGAAATGTGGATGCCGGGTGGGGAGAACAGGGAAAAGAGAAACGCTACCCAGAAACGAGGAGAAACCCCTGCACAGCCGCAAAAGGAGAGGATTCCCACCAGCAGAGCCCCCTGGCAATGAGGGCCCGCCTGTGCCACGGGCGCTGGGTGCTGCGGGAGGTGCCAGGGCCACCTGTGCCACCGCAGCTCGTGGGGACACAGCCCGGGCTGCTCACCCGGCACCACCGGCGGTAAATCCATTTGTTTTGGCTGCAGACAGCGGCTCCTCGGCTCTCCTTTGGTTCCCCGCTGTGCCCTCGCCCTGCCCGGCCTGGAGGAGGTGCCCAGGGATGCTCCGGGTGACAGCGACACTTGGGCTGCCCCCGATGCCGCCCCCGCTGCCCGTGGCTCAGCCCGGAGGGGTTGGGAGCACCTTGGTCCCCCCTGCCCTCCCCTGCGCTGTTGTGGCGGTGGCCTCCCAGCCAAGCTGGTTAAGAGATTAACACTCTAAAAACCACATTTACTCTAATTAGCCATGAAATCTTTGTAACTAAGTGAAAAAATGTTTCCCTTGAGGGATTTTTGTCCATTCATCACTGTTTGAATTGCCAGGGAGGGGGGTGGGGAAGAGAAAAGAGGGGGGACGAGAGGAAAAAACCCCCTCAGATCTAATGAATTAATAGCAGAATGCCCCGAGGGAGCAGCGGCTCCTCCACAACACGGGCACCTCAAAGGGGGCTTTTCACAGCTCGCCGAAGGGACGCTGCTGAATTATTTCGAGTTAACAGACTGTAACAGCTCTGCTCCCGCTCGAGCCGGGCGGCTTGGCCAGCGCTCCGCTCCTCCCTTCCCTTCCCTTCCCTCGCTCGGGGACGGACAGACGGACAGACGGACGCTGTGCCCGGCCAGCTGCGTGCCCCTGCCCTGCTGCCAGCACCACCAGTGCCCCCCAGTTCCTGTTGCACCGGGAAAAAACACATTTCAGAGTTAAGGTGGGAGGGGAGGCAGAGGATCTTGCCACAACTTAGGCCCATAAATATTTCATATCGCTGGAAGAAGAACGATTATATTCCTGCCAGCACTTTTCTTGTGTATTTTAAATGTGTCACCGCCTTCTACTTTCTCCCCCGTTTGTGTTTCTTGTAACAGGCCCATGAAATAAAGATTAGCTGAATAATCAGGAGTGTTTAGAAATGTGAAGGGGCCTGTCTCAGGAGCACGGCATGCTCAGGTTCATCTCTTTGCAGGTTTTTTCCAATTTTTAAGGATGCCGAGCGCGGTTTTGCGGGGTGGAGGCGGGCGGGAGCGAGCCCGGGCGGCGAGCACGCCCTGCCCCGTCAGGAATGACAGGCTCGGCGCCGAGAGCAGCAGCGGGGCACTCTCCCCCATTGCATATTTATCGTCCGGGCTGCAGAGGGGCCAATTAAAGCAGCTTGATCAGCGCCGTGCTGGAGCAGCCGCGGATGTGCTGGGAGAGGCGGGGTGAGAGGGGCAGGTGCACACGCTGCTGTTGGGATGTGGTGCATCCCTTCCCCGAGAGCCACAGACCGGGCTGGGTGAGCAAAGGTGTCCCTGCACCCCCAGGATCATCCCTTGGTGAGCCAAATTACCCCTGCTCCACCAGCAGAGCATCCTTTAGTGAACAAAGATACCCCTGCACCCCCCAGGATCATCCCTGGGTGAGCAAAGGTGTCCCTGCACCTCCAGGATCATCCCTGGGTGAGCCAAAATACCCCTGCTCCACCAGCAGAGCATCCTTTAGTGAACAAAGATACCCCTGCACCCCCCAGGATCATCCCTCAGTGAGCAAAAGGTGTCCCTGCACTCCCAGGATCATCCCCCCATGAGCAAAGGTACCCCTGCACCCCCAGGATCATCCCTGGGTGAGCAAAAGGTGTCCCTGCTTCACCAGCAGAGCATCCTTTAGTGAACAAAGATACCCCTGCTCCCCCAGGATCATCCCATGGTGAACAAAGGTGCCTCTGCTCCCCCAGGATCACCCATCAGTGGTGCCTCTGCTCCCCAAGGAGAGCATCCTTTAGTGAACAAAGATACCTCTGTACCCCCTTCATGAGCAAAGATATCCCTGCTCCACCAGGAGAGCATCCTTTAGTGAAAAAAAGATATCCCTGCATCCCCAGAGGTGTCCCTGCTTCACCAGGATCATCCCTTCATGAGCAAAAATACCCCTGCTCCCCCAGGAGAGCATCCTTTAGTGAAAAAAAGATATCCCTGCATCCCCAGGATCATCCCACGGTGAACAAAGGTGCCCCTGTGCCCCCAGGATGATCCCTCAGGGAGCAGAGGTGTCCCTGTGCCCCCAGGATCACCCCTCAGGGAGCAGAGGTGTCCCTGTACCCCCGGGATCACCTCTCAGAGGGCAGAGGTGTCTCTGTACCCCCAGGATCACCCCTCAGGGAGCAGAGGGAAAAAAAGATATCCCTGCATCCCCAGGATCATCCCACGGTGAACAAAGGTGCCCCTAGGATCATCCCTCAGGGAGCAGAGGTGTCTCTGTACCCCCAGGATCACCCCTCAGGGAGCAGAGGTGTCCCTGTACCCCCAGGATCACCCCTCAGGGAGCAGAGGTGTCCCTGTACCCCCAGGATCACCCCTCAGGGAGCAGAGGTGTCCCTGTGCCCCCAGGATCACCCCTCAGGCAGCGAGGGGCCCTGCTCCCCGTCACGCTGGCTCCCAGCAGCCAGCCCAGCTTCCCACCTTCCTCTCCTCACCACTCACGCAGTTTCTAAATTCCGGCTCTGCTTTCTCTCGCAGTGCAGCTCCCCATCTCGGCTGCCCACGGCATGAGACAGTCTGCACCTACATCTGCCCTAGCTTCGGGCAACCTTTGCCAGGCAGGCTCCAGACTCCCACATTTGGCTGCAACAGGAGTTCCCTGGGTAAGTTCTGGAAAGCCTCGTGGCGCTGCCTCAATGGGAGATGTCGGGAAGAGCCCGCAAATCACACATTTCCTGAGCCTCCGCAGGGTCTGCCCGGCACACCGCTCCAAATGTCACCTCCATTTAGCTGTTCGCGGGCCAATTTGTCACATCCTAATGCAATTTGCAGAGGAGAGTTAAAGAGCGCAGGGCAGGGGCAGGCGGCCCTGCCTTCCCCGGCTCCCGCGGCCAGGCTGTGCCTGCGGCTCCCAGCTGGAGCTGCCGGGAAGCAGGACAGGCTCAGGGTCAGCCAGGGAACAGGAGAGCACGGCCACGGCTGCTCCTCTTGGTGGGCTATGCAGGTTTTACACAGCATCAGCACCGGCCCCACCGCACCAGCTTCTCACTGGGGCGACTCCACCATGAATTCCATCAAACAACCCCATAAACAACGAGGAGCGAATTGGGTTACTTCATCTTCTTGCAGCGAGCGCTGGGGATGTGGCCGGCAGGGCTGCCTTGCCTGATGAGGCATTTCACGAGGGACACCGCTGGGTCACGTCCCTCGCTGCTCGCACCGAGTCAAAGCTGCTTTATCTGCTCCCCGCACCACCCCGGAGCACCACATTTGAGCCCTGAGGGTCCTCAAAGTGACAACAAATGGCAGAAGGACAGCAATAAAGACCGAAAAAAAGAGCCCCAGTGAGTTCTAAAGGATCTAACACCTCTGTGTTAAAGGTAAAAAGCCAAACATCTGTTCCGAGCATGGCACAGATTCTTGCGAGGCATCTGTCCCTCAGCTGTAAGTAGGTCATCTCACCTCACTTCAGTCACCGTTATCAATGAAGCCATCCAGAGCAGGAGGGACAGGACAGGTCCCCAGCTCAGCCCAGGTCTATCGAGCGCCTCGAAGCCACCAGTGAAGCATCAAGTGCCCAGCAAAGAGCAGGAGCAGCCTTTGAGCCGTGGTTTCCCACCATGGCACTCGGAGAACTTCACGTTCCCTCAGCTCCAAGCCTCAGCTGCTGCTCACGGACGCCCAGGGCGTTTTTCCCCCTCTGCCACTTACTATTCACCTCGCTTAAAATTAACCTATTGACTTTCTGATACCCCTCAGAACACAGATTAATTGAACATCACTCACTTCACCTCCAGGAACGTGCGACTATTGGCCGTAGCGTGAACGGAGACAAAGCCGGGAATGCCTGGCCGTGCCAGGTTAAACGGAGGTCACAGCCGGCGAGGACAGCTCAGCCGGAGCAGCCCCGGCTGTCACCGGCAGCCACCCGGCAGCTCCGGGGCTGCGGAACGCGGGACCCTCCCCCGGGAGCCGGGATTCCCCCCGAGGGAGCGCAAGTGCGGTCGGCATCTCTCCCCTCACCGCCGTCCAAAAAGGGTCTCGCGCGGATTTGGGAAAGTTTCAGTGGGGATTTTATGTATTTTCCCTTAAGATTCAGGGCTGTTTTCCAGAAAGTGCCTCCTCGCTAGCAGGAACTTTTCACGGGGATGAGCTTATCCCGCTGCATTGGCTCCAGACCGTGACGGAGCGGCCGCGGAATTAACGAGGAGACGGCGATGTCTAACGGGAGCGCGGAGCGGGAGCTGGATTCCCCGGAGCCGGGCAATCCGAGCGGCTCCTCCATCCCTTCCCAGGCACCCCCGGCCCCTCCGCGGGCACGGCCGGGACCGCCGGGCACCACCCCGCGCTCTGCAGCCCCCTCTGCCACCCGCAGTCCCCGCTGCCACCACAGCCCGCGGTGCCACCCGCAGCCCGCGGTGCCACCCGGCTCGGGCAGCTGCGGGCGGCACGGCGACAACGCTGCCGAGCCTCCTCCCCGCATCCTCCGGCGGGAGATGCCCGGCGGAACCCCCACCCCGGGGACCCCCCGCACCCCTCCGGGCAGCATCCCCTCGCCATCCGCCGCCACTCACCGGCTCCGCTGCCGCCCGCCTGCCGGCTCAGGGCGGGGGGACGCAGGCGGCCCCCGGCACCATGGAAATCCGGGGCCGGGCGGCCGCCGCTGCCCGCAGCCCCTCCGCCTCCCCCGGCGCGGCGCGGCTCGGCTCGGCTCAGCCCCTCCGGCCTCTCATCGCCTCCGCAGGCGCTGCCCGAGTGCGGCGAGCGCGGCTCGGCCGCGCCGCCCCCGCGCCCGCCTTAACCCTTCCGCAGCCAGGGAGCCGGCAGCGGGGCTCGGCGCCCCCTCCCCACCTCACCTGCGCCCCCCGAGTCCCGCGGAGCGCGGCCGAGCCGGGGCCGGGGAGCGGCTCCGCGCTGGAACAAAGCCCCGCACGGCCGGGGCAGCTCCCGAGCCGGGCTGCGCGGCAAAGCCCGGCACAGCTGTGCCCCAGAAAGGCCCGCAGCTGCCCCCGCAGCTGTCCCGGCTCGGGGGGGCTGTGGGGCTCTGCCCCCCGCTCTGAGCCCCTCCGCGCCCCGCGGCTCCAGGAGAGGCACCTGAGCGCTGTGTTCCTCAGTTTCCCCATCTCTGGAAGGGCTGGCAGCCTGGTTTTCTGCCGAGGCTGGGTCACCTCCAGCAGAGCTAGAGCTGCTACAAGGCCCCTGACACCACTGAGCCCCACAGCTCCTGCCAAAAGCTGCCAGAACCCAGCCAGGGTGGCATGGCCAGCTGGGACAGGGCACACTGCGACCACCCACTGCTGAGAACCCCTCCTTGGCCTTGAGTGCTTCAGTCACAGAGCCACAACCTGGCCTTTCCTGCTGCCCTAGAACACCTGGAAGCTGCAGGGAACCCAAAGGGAGGAGCATCTTCCAACACCAACACCCTGTACCCCACTGGCCACCTGCAGCAGCCCCAGGGGTTTGGGAACACCTGGACTCAGGGAGGAGAAGGCAGTCCCGGTGCCAGAGCAGGATCTTGTGCTCCTGAAAGGCTGGAGCACCCCAGTCCAGCTGACCCTGACCCAGCCAGGGGCACGGGGATGATTCCGAGCAGCGCAACTGGTGGAGGGGATCAATACCATGATGGATTGCTGCTTGCCAGATCTTGTCATCGGGAATTTTTAAACCATTTTTCTATTACACATTGGGACAGCTGCAAGAGAAAATCAGAGCCATCATGCTGGGCCTCCTCCACAACAAACCCGAGTGACTAAAGCAACCCCGTGTCCTCTTACAGTTCCCCTCCAGCCCAGCCTCTGTCACCCTCAGTGCTGTCACCATGGCCACAGCAGTGGCCTCGCTGCATCTCCCCTGCCTGGTGCCTTTAGCAAGGCCCTGCAGGAGCAGTTTGGGGTGGAAAGGGACCCCGTTGTGGTTGGTTTTGCTCTCTGCCCCCTGCAGAGGGTTCAGGAACCCCTAAAGGGGAGCCCAGCAGGGAGTGCTGTGCAGATGCAGGTGCCACCCTTCCCCAGGCAGAAAGCCACAGGTTGGTTGGCTGCTCGGTGCTCTCCCCATCCCAGCAGCGTCTCCATCCTCTCAGCAGCCCCTGAGGAGCCCTCAGGGAGCACGGGCAGAGCCCCTGCCCAGCACAGCCCACCCCCACAGAAAGGCTCCCCTCGACCTCGCTGCAGCTCCGGGGCTGGGGACTTTGGCAGCCTGGAGAGGTCCCCAGGCTGCAGCTGCTGAGCTGGGGACAGGCAGCAGCAGGCACTCAGTGGATGGCAGCACTGGGTCTTGAGCAAGCTCTTCTCTCTCCCACTCTGTTCCCAGTACAGCTCCTGTGCTGCACGTTCCCAAAAAATGGAACCAAATCCCACTGCAAAACCCCAGTGCAAAACCCTATAAACCCCACTGAGAAACCTCCACAAATCCCACTGAGAAACCCCAAAAAGCCCAGTGCAAAATCCCAAAAACCCCACTGAGAAACCCCCACAAACCCCAGTGCAAAACCCCACAAACCCCACTGAGAAACCTCCACAAACCCCACTGTGAAACCCCACAAACCCCACTGAGAAACCCCACAAACCCCGGTGCAAACCCCACAAACCCCACTGCAAACCCCACAAGCCCCAGTGCAAAGCCCATCTCGGGAAATGCACATCCCACGATGCAGAGCCTTTCTCCTCTCCTCTCCTCTCCTCTCCTCTCCTCTCCAGGCCCGTGTGTGCATCCTGCCCCCGTTATTGTTCACTGACGGGCAGTGAGCCGAGGATGCCGAGGATGTTTCCAGCTGGTTGTTCCAGCGCTGGGAGCTCCGGGGAAAGCCCAGGCTCCGCTCGGAGCCCCGGATCACGGATTTCTTTGTCTGTATCTTTGATAACGCCCTTGCCTCGGGGCGCGGGGGTCACGAACTGCGCGATCGGGAGCTTCCAGCCCTGCCCGCTCCTGCGAGTGCGGGACAAGCGGCTCGAGCCCCGCCTCGGGCTCTTCCCCCCTGCCAGGACCCCAAACCAGCCTTTGCTCCATTCCCGGGGCAATCAAACAGAGCCACCGCTTCACAGACAGCCCCGGCAGGGGAACAGCGAGGGGAAAAGATCCTTTCCCCCACTGCCGGGGTTTGGGACACGGGAGAGCGGCGGTGGCGGCTGTGCGAGGCCAAGAGCACCATCTATAGGCACCGTCTATAGGCGCCGGCGGCTCCCGCTGCCTCCCAGCCCCGCAGAAAGCCAGCGCAGCTAATAATTATTCAGCACTAATCACTACAATAGAAGAATCATAGGCAGTTATTTAGAAATGATTGTTTCCCCTCGGTTATTACTTATGACAGTGAAAGGAAGTATCAAGTAGTCAAACCCACATGTATATGGGAAGCTGAGTGAAGGATCAATGGGAATTTAACCAGCACTTTGCACTATTCTTCCTCTTTAGAAGAGCCTTGTCAAGTGATTTTTTTTCTCTCTCTCCTGTTCATCACGTCTTCTTGGGAAATAAAAAGGATTTTTCTTTTCCTGGTGCTCCTTATCCCTTCCTCTCCTCGGATTTTCCCATAACTCCGAGCTCCGGCTCCTGCCTCTGGATCTCCTGGTTTGAGCTGAGCTGAAATTAACTCTGGCTTTTTCTCGCTAAAACAAACTCTGGTTTCATTAAGTGCAAGGGCAGGAGAACAGCAAGTCCCCGGATCCCGAGTTCCAGAGTGTCTTGTTCCTGTCAGAAACACAATTGCCTGTGCCGGGGCTGTGTCAGGAATTCCAGGTGCAGACAATGTGCCATTTTTAATCATCTTCCCACAGCTAAGAGCTGAAAGAAAGGGGATCATACAGAGGAGAGCACAAAAATAACCCTGGAAAAAAACCCAGAAATATTTAGTGATGTTAAAAAATCAAATACAACATGGAAACATCAGCCAGGCTGGCCCATACCAGGAGGGACAGGGTCACCTTCTCTCCTTCCTTGGCTCCTCAGCGTGACCCGAGCTCTGCACACCACTCCCAACTCTTTTTAAATAAATATTGCACTGCATCCTCGTGTTTCCCCCTCCAGGGCTGCACGTGGGCCTGCCAGGAGCAGGGAGAGGGTCCCACCTCGGGCACAAGCCAAGCCAAGTGGCCGAGGAGAGGTCACCTGAGGAGCTGCCAGCCCCTGGTGCCACTCTGGAGCTCAGCTGTGTCCCAGAGTGTCCCCTGAGCCCAGGGCCACCTGGCAGAGCGGGGCACAGGGGCTGAGGGCAGGGAGCTGAGCTTTGCCAGACCAGGCCAGGGGACTGGGAATGCATCCACGGCTTTGGGAAGCGCTCCCCACCCAGCTGCTGACCCCATCCAGCTGTGCTGACCCCATCCAGCTGTGCTGACCCTGACCCAGCTGTGCTGACCCCATCCAGCTGCTGACCCCATCCAGCTGTGCTGACCCCATCCAGCTGTGCTGCCCTTTCCCCCCAGGGCCCCTCAGCTGCTGCAGAGTGCCCGAGGCAGGGCAGTGCCAGGCTGGAGCCTGCCAGGGCTGCTCAGGGCCAGGCTGCCCCTCCAGCCCAGGGCTGGGCTCACAGGGGTGAGGAGTTAATTACTGCCCCTAATGAGGGAGTGTCCACACTTGCCCAGAGACCCCAAGTGCAGCAGGGCCCGTGGTGACACAGCTGTCCCCTCTGGAGGGGTGGACATGCAAAGGGGGCTCTAGCAGGGCTTTGACTGGGGCTTCCCAAAATCTCTGCACCTGAAATTCCTCCGGGCTGCCCGAATTCCCCCTGCAGGGCTGCCCCTTCCCCAGCTCGCTGCAGGGGTGCCCTGGGGGAGAAGCATCTCCACAACCGAGTTCAGGTTCTTGCTGTGATTAAGAAGCTGCTTTGGCAATAAATCTCCCCCGCCTGCTCCCTGCTCTGAGCTCATTGGAAATCTTTAGTTCCTTCATCATAAAGAAATGAGTATTTCAAGCTCCCTGTCCTAATGAAGGTAAAATACAGAGCGCATTGTCAAACACGCTGTGGCTCTGCCTTCCATTCCACAATAATCTTCCTAATTCTTCTGTAGGCGCTGTGTATCACTGACAGCGCCAAACGGAATGAAATGCAAACCTAAATGATTTTAAACCCTAATTCCATCTCTTTTTTTTTTCTCTTGTCTGAGGAGATGGAGATTTTTTTTCTCCCCTGCATGATAGGTGGGAGCGGGGTGGAACTGGAAATCCTTTGATTTGTGGCTCTGGCAGTGTTAATCTGCTGCTGCAAATTCTGCAAAGCGTTCTGCGAGTGATGGAGGAATGCAGAGCCTGCTCCTTGCTCCAGATTCTGTCCAGTATTCTCAGGGGCTTTGTCAGGAAAGAGACGGGGATGTTCACAGCCAAACACAAACCCAGAAGTTTATAAAACTCCTCCTCAGGTAGCTCAGCCAGTACCAGAGAAAGGCAGAACGGATTCAAGCTCATTTTAAACACTGTTATCAGCTTTGTTACAACCACAAAGAACACAGGCTGGCAAAGCGTAAAAACAACAAAAGAAGGAAACTTCCAGAGCTCCAACCCTTTAATTTCCCCGAATTTCCATCTCACCTGCTTCTGCAGCACCTCCTTGCAGTTCTCTCAGAGCCCAGGGCCCCGGAGTGAGCAAAGCTCAGCTGCAGCCCCGGCACTCTCTGGGCTCCCCTCCTGCCTTCCCCACCTCCACACGATCCACATTTCCCTGCCCCGGGCTAGGGAGACGTGGATCATGTGCAGAGATTCACTTCATGTGTGCCAGTGCTGATTGCAGCAAGGCCCTGGCTTTAATTGATGTCTTGGATCGTGTGGGGGGTGGATCCAGGGGGTTTTCACCTCACAGATGTAC